GCAAAGGAAGTTTCCAGAGAGGGACTCCCCTCCTCTGTCGGGAAGAAGACCCCCCCATCTGCAGGGAGGCCCCATGCAGACACACATATGAGCCGAGAACACAGCGCAAGTGAAGCAGTGGTAGGTTTTATGGGAGTCTGGCCACTTGCCATCAGAGCTTACCTGTGTTCCTGGCACTGTTCTGGTTGGTTCCAGTGGCCCTGTCTCTCTCCATCTTACAACAGGTGGTTTCTGGGTCAACACCGTGACTCAGTAGGCCCAATTGCAGTGCTGTGCTTGACGTGGCACCCTTACTTTCATAGATGACAAACCTCTGTCGACGTTGGTGTCTGGCAAATATTTTCTTTTCAGTCTCTATCAGAGGGATGACAGAAGCACTGTTCACATGCTCAGAAGGCACAGGAGGGTGCATTCCATTCCCACTCGTACACGCTGACTCTCCTGCTGGCTGTCACTATAGAGTCCTGATGGAACAATCTCGGGAGACCCAGTTGAATATTATCCAAATGGAGGTCATTCCCCTTGTCCCTCAGAAATAATGGTGCTGCATGTTTCTCGGCGGCCATCAAACTCTCTATAGACTACTTGTACAATATGATGAAGGACTTTAAAAACTCTGCAGTAATAATTGGGTCAAGGATATTCAAGGAGTTGATCAGGAAGGTTTATTAATTAGCATATCTCCAAAGGAGCTATCGCAGCTGATCAATGACATGGCACACAAAGGGAGCGTGGAGTTTAAAAACCAATGACAAAATCAGCAGCATTGTGTCTTTGGGATCAATTGCATTGAAGCATTATTAAAAGAATCTTAGATTATTAATCATCAGTCCAATAGTCCCTAAGTACAGGCTGATCAAAGGACGAAACACATGGGAGAAAGCAGCTAGAATCTCCCTAGGAAACTTCCTATAAATTTATTTACTTTGGATCAAAATTCTTTCTGTTCAAATTGAAATAACTGTATTGTTTAATTTTAATTTTAAATAGCAACAGCAATTAGTCCACTAAAAGAACTAATTGCTTGCAAATTTTCATATTTAAACACAAAGCCATTTTTTAAACGACAGTGCCGAATACCGTTTCAAAGGCTAAGCAAAGATTTTGAAAAGTGAGCTATACATAATCTTATAATATTGTTCACTAATTATAAAACAGTAAAGCAATGGTTTAAAAAACTTCAGGAAAGAGTAAATGTTCTTGCTTTATTTTTATAAGTAAGAGTACCTTTCAAAAGAGAGTGATTATGATCAATGCCTATTTTAAGTGATGCATTTCTCATAAACAACCACAGAATTCTAGGCACACACGCTCACTCACAATAGACTTGAAATGACAGGGATATTTTTCACACAATCTGCTGCTGAGGATTATAATTATTTTCAGAGCTGCAGAATTATAAGTAGACTTTTCTTTCCATTGAAACCTACTTCGCAACCACCCCCTCCATCTTTGGGGAAAAAAAAATCTCAGGTGTTTAGTTCACAGATATAGAATCAGTGAGCATTTATAATACTCACTTTCATGGGATTGCCAAAGTTTCAGAATTTTCAGCATTAAAATTTCCTTTTGGGTGAAAATCTGTTCTTAGAAGGCCCCTTCCCTCCCCTTAATAAGATTTCAGAGCTTATGCCCAAGATCTTTGAAGCCAACCAGACTGGGTCAGATCTAACTCTGGTGTTAATTAACTATGCGACCTCACATAAATGACACTCCACATAAATGACATCCTCCTTCAAGTCTCAGGGTCCTCAGGCATACCAATGGTATAATTATATAATCCAACTAGTACAGTTATTGTTAGGTTTAAATAAGCATATAAAGTAATTGCATAATAAAAGGGTGCTTAGTGTTTGTATTAATATTTTGTTATTATGAACAAAATAACTATAAGTTATAGAATTCAGACAGAAAAAAGAAATTTTATGAACCTCCACTCCATGGATCATGGCAAGATAAGGTAACAAGTATAAGGAACTGCTAACAAGAGATAGTTTAGGAAGGCCCTACAGAGTGAGCAAACATAGCTTGCCAATAAACTTCTAAGAATAGACAGACATACAAGGTCTTAGGAGGGAAAGAATAGAAGCTTGATCTACTCCAGCATTTTGTCAAAGACTACTTATAAAGAATATATATATATATGTATATATATATACATATATAGTAGCTAATTTTTAAAATTTGGTGATGTCAAACAAGATTAAATAAAAGATTGAATCAATTAATGTATAACATGCTTCTTTATAAATTTTGTTCAGGATTTAGTTTGCAAATATAAAACCCAGCAAACATTATGCAACCTGCAAATTAAAATATTGAATGACCAGTTGTTCAGAATATCTTTAAAAACAACTTTAAAAACAAGGAAATCAAAACTATTCAATTTTTTTTAGGGGGGGAGGGCTAGAACAACTAGACATCCACATGCAAAAAAAAAGTGTAGAAACAGATCTTAACACACCTCACACACAAAAAATCAAGATGGATCATGGATCTACATGTAAAATGTAAAACTTCAACACTTATAGAAGATAATACAGGAGAAAATCTAGGTGACTTTTGATTTGATGATAACTCTGTAGATACAGGAGCAAAAGCAAGAACCATGAGAGAAAAATTAATAAGTTGGACTTTATTGAAAGTAACAGTTTCTGCTCTGTGAAAGACACTGTTAAGGGATTTAAAAGACAAGCTACATGCTGAGAGGAAAATACTTGAAAAACACATATCTGGTAAAGGACTTATAGCCAAAATATAGAAATAACTCTTTGAACTCAACAATAAGAATATTAATAACCTGATAGATAAAGAGCAAAAGATGGACAGACATCTCCCCAGAGAATATGTACAGATGGTAAATAATCAGATGAAAAGATGCACCACTTTGTGTCAGTAGGAAAATGCAAATTAAAACAACAGTGAGATTCCACCACACACCTACAAGAATGGACAAAATCCACAACACTGACAACATCAAGTGCTGGTGAGGATGTGGAGCAACAGGAATGCTCATTCATAGCTTGCAGGAATGCAAAGTGGTTGGTGCAGTCACTTAGGAAGACAGTTTGGCAGTTTCTGACGAAGCTAATCACAGGCTTACCACAAACCCCGGCAATCACACTCCTTCATATTTTCCCAAAATAAGTTGAAAACTTGTGTCCCCACAAAACATGCCAAAAATATTTAAGTGGCTGTATTCATAAATAACAAAAACTGGAAGCAACCAAGATGCCTTCCAGCAGTGAATAGATAAACAAACTTTGGTACATGTAGACAATAGAATATTATTCAGCACTAAAAATAAATAAGCTATCAAACCATGAAAAGACATGGAGGAAACTTAAATGCATACTACTAAGGGAAAGAAGCCTGTCTGAAATGGCTACATACTGTATGGTTCTAACGACATGACATCCTGGAAATGGGAGGACTATGAAGACAATAAAAAAATTAGTGGTTGTCAAGGGTTGGGGGAGGGATGAACAGGTGGAACCCAGAATTTTTAGGGCAATGGCACTGCTCTGTAGGATACTTTCATGGTGGACACATGACATTATGCATTTGTGGAAACTCATAGAGTGTACAGCAAAAAAGAGTGAACCTTAATATAAACTATGGGCTTTAGTTAATAATGTATCAATATTAGCTCATTGGTTATAACAAATAAATGAATGCAAGATGTTAATAATAGAGAAACTTGGACAAGGTGAGAGTATGGAGACCCTATATTCTGTGACATTTTTCTGTAAACCTAAAAGTATTATAAACAATGAAGTCTATTTTTTAAAAATGTGTATGTTTTTATAGAAGTCAAGGGAGTCATATAATTGTATTCATATATTCAATATGCCATACACCTAATTATCATTGACTCAGTAACTACAAAAGAGAAACACTAACCTTTTAAATTATTTAAAATTAAATTAAAATGATTTAATTCTTCTCTATTTGTTATTCTTTGTTTATAAAATTGGAACATGCATAAGGATAACAATTGCATAAATTTCATGAAATAACGCAGTTCAACTTCCTTTCATTTTTTTTTTCTATTGGATTTGAAAAAATTATTTCCCCTCCACCACTAAAAGTCAATTATTATATTTAGTAAATCACATTTTTAGTATCTAAGGAGATTTGAGGAAATGATGTTTATTTTTAAAATGCTATTTAGTCAACCAGAAATGCCAAGGAATTATGTTCTTATTTGAAACCAGCTTTTTATAATATTAAAAAGGATTTCATTAGTTTCAGTTTTTTATGGTTCATATGGTTCTCTTAGTGCTTTTTCAGTATTGTATAGTATGATTTTTGATTATTTTTACATGAAGGATATAGCAGGGAAAATGATTAACTCATTTCTAAATTGAAACAGAAAGAATTTTGAGCTTTGTCATTCCAAAGTGCTTTCAGATGTGTTTAGCAATCCAGTTGTAATCTGAGCTCTTCCAGGCACGGGTCACATGTACTGTGTCCCAGTTATGTGCACGCTGAGTTCCATGACACTACCTGGCAACTGGATCCGGGGAGCAGCCTCAGGTTCTGGATTTCAAATAAGCTCCCAGACTGTTCTGATGCTGTTATTCTGAACACCACACATTGAGAAGCAAAATGTTATCTCAAACTAGCCACCATCTAGACAGAAGAGAGGAGAAACATGTGGGAGAAATCTGGATATGTGATTTAAATGCTTATTTATCTTTTTAGACATTTGTTTCACCTTCATTACCAAAGGTGAAGACCCAGATAACAAGATAGCAATCACCCAGATAACAATCATCCATACATCCTTCCTATCTTCCATCCATCCATCATTCCTTTCATCCATTCATCCTTCCTTCCTTCTTTCCTTCCATCCATCTATCTACTTGTCCTTCTATCCATTATCCACCCATCCTTCTATGGGTCCATCCATCCTTCTATCCATCCATTCTTCCATCCTTCCATCCATCCATCCATCCATCCATCCTCCCTTCCATCTATTCATCTATCTACCCATCTTTCCTTCCATCTATACTTCCTTCCTTCCTTCCATCCATCCATCTATCCAATAAATATCCATTGATCCTCTGATACCATTCCTTCCTCTGATTCTGTAAGTAAAATCATCATGGATTTACTCACAACTGTACTATTTTACGAATCACTCACTTGTGCCATAACCAGCAGTTGCAGCCTGAGTACCTTCCCTGGTAATTCTTTTTTCTTTTTTTTTTTTTTTTGCATTTCTGCCAGAATTAACTTCTTTTAAAAGTCATGATGTGGTGTTTGGAAAGTTGTATGATTTGGAACATGACAAGAGTGTGACTCAGATGATGAAGGCACTTGAAATCGGGGCACATGAGGAAGGGTTATCACAGTGAAGTTTTCCGCCTGGAGAAGAGAAAAAATGTGACGTAGGGGGTCTAGGAACCTGGACAGCGAGAATTGTGTGGCAATTGTCATCAAGCACTTAAAATGTGTCACATGAAGGAATTATCAGTCTGTGTGTTCCAAGGAGAAAACCCAGAAGTAATTGAGGAAGCAGTGGCAAAAGTGACTTTGATTTTGTGCCAGGGGCTCTCCAAAGCTACTCACACGAGGATTAGAATGCCCTGCCACCGGGGGTATTTGCAGCACTGGGTGGTCACCCAGGAAAGTTGTTTTGAAATGAATTCTAGCAGTCAGGGATCACTGGGCTGGCAGATCTTTTTAAAGACCCATTAAATGTAAAGTGCTATGATTCTCTGAAAATAATTTTCTCTACAAACTTGTTGTTCTTCCCTGATGAATATGTTCAAGTTTTTCCTAAGCACCTTAAGAAAAGAGAGAGTTTTGTGAGCCAGTCACACTAAAGATGAAACATTGATATTCTCTTTGGCAATAGGGTCATGTTGAATAAAAGTCCTCGGTGCTAACAGAGAGAATATGTGCTTTCCACTTCGGTACTTACAGAAAGCTCATTAGTTCTAAATTTAGAAGTAAGCTTTAGTGTTGGAGGGACTCCAAGTTTGACTAATACATTTGACGGCGTCCTTGTTAGGAAAAAAAAAAAAAAACACGATGGAGAATTCTATTTTTCTAGGTTGCTGTGTGGGTGTGGGTGGAGAGTGAAAAACACATGCTCTTTTCTGTCAGCTAATTCCATCTGTTCACAATTATTGAGTAGGTGTGCCAATCTAATGATGCTAAGTACACAGTAGGTATGCAATGGGTGCTTTTAGTTTGATTGTATTTATACCGCTCACTTGGCAGAGGTGAATCACTTAGCAAATTCTCAGAGCGTCTTGATTCAAACCAACTGCTGTATTTTTCTCCCTGGCAAGCTGCCCGGCAATGAGACAGTGGTCAGAAACAAGATGTCGTTTTGTTTCAACAAAGCATTATTGAGCACCTACTAGGTTTAAGGACACGTAAACAGAGATAAACAAGATGCTGCGTTCAAGGTCCCCCTCTCAAGGAACTCAGTCTTGGAAGAGACGCCAAATTGTGTAAGTCCCTTAATGTCATGACCACTGATCACTGCTCAAATGCCTGCTGTTTAGCACAAATTTTCCTCAGCCCTCTCTCTTAAGAAACAACCACAAAATAAGTCAAAACTCTCAGAGCTACCTTAATTAAAAGCATTTGATGACTTTAAATAAAGTAGTTCAGTGCAGAACAGTAGTTTTCCATGCGCTTCCTCTCTGTGAATATCAGAATAAATTATTAAAAAGTAATTGGTCAGAAGTTTTATGTAATCTTAATAATAAATAACATTAAGTGTCCATACATAATGGTTCCATATGTTTCGAATAGTAATTTTTAATTCTATGCTCCCCCAAATCAAGAAGAAATGTTCCTTACAGAGAATTCTACACCATGCAATATTCCCGCCATAATCGAAAAGGCTGGCTCTCCCTTCCCTTGGCAGCAGCATCCACAGAAGGATGCCATCGGGGAAACGTGGATGAGGCTGACCACATGTGTGCCTATGGCGCCCACGCCACCACCTTCAGACCAGGAGAAGAGCTGGGCAAAACGGTGTGGCAGCTGACATTTAGTTACAAGCCAAGTAATAACTGGTATTACACAAGGATGTTGCTACCACACCTATTTATTCCCCCTTCTTCCTCCCACCCACTCTCTCGACTCTAAAGTGGGTCGACCTCCCATTACAACTCTAATTTACAAGCTTACATTGACAGAAACCTTTTTGCACTGTACTCACTCAAATGCATGGGTAACAGTGTTTTAGATACTGTTCTTTGTCTAGGAAGGGAGTTGGCAATGGTGGTGACTCAGGATCACTGCAGCCAACAAGGAATAGACAAGACGCCTACATATGGACAAGAAGAACAAGTATTCGTGTGTATTTTTAACTTTGACAGGACTACATGGAATCAACAATCTAATATGTAGATAGTCATTCATTTAATGATACTTAGTAACTAACAACATTGACTAATCATGAGATATCTCTCCATCTATTCAAATGTTTAAGTCCCTTTAGTAAATATTTCTACCCCCCAGGGGAGATTTCGATTTCTTTCTTTAGTCAATTTTTTTTTTAAATGCTGTAGTTCCACCACTAATGCAAATATATTATGTATTATTATATTTTAAATTTGTTAGTGAAGATAAAATACTATTATTTTTTTGTAAATTGATTGGTTTTGATAAACTCTTGTATGTATTCTAATGATTATTTGATTCTTTAGCTTAGTCCGTGTAGATTATCAGCTACAATTAGGGACTATTCTAATTCTTCCTTTCCGGCACAGCAGAAGTGATCAGGAACATTTTTGACTTGTTTCTAATCATAAAGGAAATGTGTCAGACGTTTTGCATAATGTATGGTATTCACTACAGTTTTTGTGGTATATGACTAAGTTAAGGAATCTCCTAAATCTAGTCATGAGAAAATACATGGCAAAACCAAACTGAGGGATGTTCTACCAAATAACTGGCCTCAGAGTTTCAAAAACTGTGATAGTCTAAGATTTTACTGTGCTTAAAAGCTAAAATGTTATCTTGTTACAATTTGATGGATGCTGGCAGAAGACACAAGACTCCTGGTTCAGAGACAAAGACTTCATTGTGCACAGTGATGGCAGTAGCCATCGTACCAGCTGTTCTGTTGGTCTCCTAAGGTCCCATTCCCAAAGGGCGGCACAAGGAGGACAAGGTAACATCTGCACATGCAGCAGGTTGCAGTACAATAGAGGAACCATGAGCTTGGGGAATTCAAATGTTTTATAATGAGCAATAAGCATGCCTGCCCTTTGCTCCAGAGGGAGAAACTATAATATCTTTCCCTTCCAAAGCTGTTTGCTATAGAGTCATCTTTGAAACGATAATCTGCAACCAAGGCAGTCAGTATCTTTACGTGTAAGAAATGCAGAAACATGAAAAATCTTTAGAGAACTGTCACCCTACAGTAATTGCCAAAAGTGTCAAAGTAAACAAAATCAAGGAAAGTCTAAGGAACTCTTGCGGACTGAAGAAGCCTACAGAGACATGATCAACGAAAAGCAACGTGTGATCCCAAGCTGACTCCTTTTGCTATAATAAACACTTCTCAATTGGAGAAATTGGACCTGAGGGTTAGGTGGCAGTAGTGCATCAGTGCTCATTTCCTGATTTGGAGAATTATATTGAGGTTGTGCAGGAGAAGCCGGGGATCCATCAGGGGCAGGGACTGCAGGAAACCACAGAACACTTGACAATCACCTGGTGACAAGCCACACCTCCTGTAAGCCTCCTCCAGACCAGGCCAACACAAGGAAACCACCGGGGAGTCCTCCATGTCTTTCTCCACTCATGGAGACTTTTTCCTTTTAAAACATGACTTCGTCGTTGTCATGCATCCTGTGACGACTTATCTTATCACTCTGAGTCTTATCTTTACAGGTGCTCAGCTCCGTATCTTTGAACACCTTTAAAGGATCATCAGAATACCTATCCTTTGCTTTATTAGAATGTGCACATAGGCAGGATTTTATTTTAATTCTCTATAAGCCGTTTAATCAAATGACTTTCACCTTTCTTTGAAACAGTGGTTTTCAAAGCATGGCCTCAGAATCTTCAACTTTATTAGAAAAGCGAATTCTCGTCCTCACACCAGGTCTGCTGAGTCTGAAACTCCAGTGGTCTCGTGGTCACAACAGCCTCCTCGGGACCCGGATGCCTGGTTCCAAGTTTGAAAACCACTGCTTTAAAAGATAACAAGTCTCTCATCCTGCTTTACTCAAATATTTCCTCCTCCCTTTTAGTTTTTCTTTCATACAGGCCTTCTGCTGTCCAGATGTTGATGTTTCTACATGCAAATCTTTCCCCCTGTCTGGTGTTTTATCTAGGGGCTCCTCAGTCCAACCTTTGAACTCCATCCTTCTTCCGCTGTGCGCGTCTTACTTCCCCCACCCAATGTTTGTCTCTTTCATTTCGACTACTAGATATTATACTTAATAGATCCACTTGATAGTTTGTGAATTGTTATTTCTTTTTCAGATAAAAACATCCTCCTTTATCGTTTTAAGGATTTTTTTTAACTTCTAAAATCCTTGTCTACTATGATAATTCAGGCTCATATAGTATATAGGTTGTTTCCTTTGCTATCATTTTTTGTCAGGGGTGCAATTCTTAGCATTTTAGTTAGGCAGGGATCAGATCTACAGGTGGAAGGGGTAAGCCAGGGCGGTGGTTCCCAGGGGTGGAGGAGCCAGGGACCAATCAGGGGCAGGGACTGCAGGAAAATGCAGAACACCTGACAGTCACCTGGCTGACATCCCACACTTCCCGTAAGCCTCCCCCGGACCAGGCCAACACAGGGAAACCACCTGGGAGTCCTCAGCGTCTTTCTGCACTCATAAAGACTCACCCGTTCCTCTCTCTGGAACTTATTTTCACTTTAGGTAGCTTCCTTCTTTACTTTCACTTTGTATAGTTTCTTTCTTTTCTGTAATAAACTGTTTGTGTGGGATGGCTTTGTGCTTGTGATCACTCCGTCCCCAGCTCTACTCGGTCCCAGGACTCACTGTTGACACTAGCAACTGAGGACTGGGGAATGTGGAGACAGACCTAACAGTCTGACCTGTAAACTCATGTAGTCTTGGGATATCCCTTTTCACATCTGGTAAAGTGCATTCAGGGAAAGGGCAAAGGACCGGTCCTAGTTTGTGTGCTTCTGGGTGAGTTGAATTAGAATGGAGAGGATGCAGCCTGCAGAGTACACCAAAGAACTTATCTTCATTCCTGTGTGCCAGTCCACCCTGTGTTTTGCATTTAAAATGTTAAGGGGATACAGAATTTGCAGGCATTTATTTTTAGTTTGGATTCCAGCGACTTCTGGTGCCTGCGTTTAGTTAATATTAAATCTCGCCACACCCATCTCTTACCTGTGCTACATAAAATAG